TTAATCCCATATGTTCTGTTGTTCACTTAATCGTGATTTCACTTAACACGGTACTCTCTGGGTTCTATTGACCGCGTAAGTGGGGTACAACTGTATGTATGTATGTATGTATGTATGTATGTATGAGTAAATCACTGTGGTGCGTGATCTAGGTATATGTTGATAACCATAAAAGGAAAAGACGGTTGCGGTAATTCACATCTTCAGTGTACTCACCCTGAAGATGAATTCACAATGCTTGGAACTTCGTGTTTTCTTCTTTCCTTGGAAAAATATATATATATATATATATATATATGTATATATATATATATATATATATATATATATATATATATATATATATATATATATATATATATATATATATATATATATATATTTGTGTAATAAATGTATGTAGTAAGTATGTACAGTAATCTTTTTCACTCAAATCCTAATGAAACACTATTGAATTAGAATACTGTAGCTGGTTGAAGCAAGCTTATAAATTAAAGAAAATACTTGCAGTGTGTTTAATATATTACAGTATACAGAACCTGTATAATGGGGTAGCTCACTCAGCAGGGATGGGGCCCAAATTTATGCACAATTGATTTATATTTCATTTACAGCATATAGATACATATATTCTGCATTAATTTTATGAAATATAATTTAATCATTTTGGGTATAAGATGTACACTAAAGACCCAAAAAGGTAAGCAATCACTACCGTCTGCTTGGCATTGCCATGACACCTGACTCTGAGGCACTAAGCAACCTGTTCTTACCTTTATTCATTACACATACATACTTCCTGAGTAAAATTTATAATATATGCCATATTCAATGTATTATCTACCATAAATATAATGAAATAGACTTTCAGATTTCAGACTGGGGAATTTTGGATAAGGGATACCCAACCTGTATTATGAAATCTTTAAACCCAGTGTATTTGTTATTATGTATTCATATATAGTAGTGATGAAGTGCTGATTTCTAATTACCATTTGATTGTGCAGATCGAGAAGTGGTTGATGTATGGATAAAGTGCAATGACAAAGATTCACTAAACATGGCACGCAGGATGATCAAGGAAGAAGGCCTCTTGTGTGGTAAGGTGGACATATTTTTTATGGTTGATCAGTGGCGGCTCGTGACTCTAATTCATGGGGGAGCTGCTTCAAAACATTTTTAAGAATTGTTTTAATATTGTGTGACACACACACACACACACACACACACACACACACACACACAGAAATACAGTACAGTATATATATATATATATATATATATATATATATATATATATATATATATATATATATATATATATATATATATATATATATATATATATATATATATATATATATATATATATATATATATATATATATATATATATATATATATTCTCTCTCTCTCGGAATTAGAGGATGACCATTGACATTAAGTTTAAGTATTACTGATAATTGTTTTAAATATCTTGTACAAGTATAAATAAATAAACATTTGATATATTATATTATACATATATATCGGGTGAAATAGGGGGTGATGCAGTTCCACAGTGCCTACTGACGAGCCGCCACTGTGGTTTATTAAAAATTATATAAGAATTATACTACTGAGGCTCCTAGTCTAGTGGTGGCCACTCTTTAAGGTAAATAAGGTATTATAAGTGCCCAATAGAGCCATCTGGTGATAATGCAACTACATGTAACAAGAACATAAGAAAGGGTATCAGCTTAGAACCTAAGAAAGCCACTCAACTGCCACATCACCACAAGTGATGGAAGCCATCATAAGGATAAATGACTCCATAACCAGTGTCAATACCCCTTAGTTTCAGAGTTACAACACTTTACTCCTGTAGATGCTGAACAGAACATATTGTAAAAATAAAACAAAAATAAAGAATATAAAGTACGGTTATGTTATAATCAATAATAAATACAGACTCTACATTATATCTTACCAGCCTTCAACAACATTTAAATTTATAAATAGTAAATATAATGTATAAATAGTCATTTGTACATATGGACAGGCTTCTTCGTATCTCTGAAAGTTCGTAAGTGATATGTTCATAAGTAGAGGAGCACCTGTACACTTGTATTGTATTTCAGATAGTCTTGACTATTGGTTAATCAGGACCCTTCTTTCCCCCAATTAGTCCAGATGACCAAGGGTTTATTGTATATGAACTTTTCAATTTCCTTTAGTTCATTTGTTCTTTTATCAATTGCACAACTGAGAAAATATTGACTACCCAAGCAGCTAATAAGGTGACAAATGATGAGAATAATTAATTAGAAAAATTATAAATTGATATGTAATTTGATTATGACAATTATGTTATTGAACAGGTGGAAGCTGTGGAGCTGCCATGCACTCTGCAATGATAGCAGCAGCAGAACTTGAGGCTGGGCAGAGATGTGTTGTAATATTGCCAGACTCTGTACGAAACTACATGACCAAACATCTCTCTGAGCAGTGGATGATGGAAAGGGATTTCATCAAGGAGGATGAAGAAACACAAAGTAAACACTGGTCAGTTCTTGCTACACATATTTTCTATTTGACTTGTCTCTTATTTGATATTGTAATAGTACAAACATGACTTACCATATTTTATTATCCTCCAGTGACTGTCTGTTATTACAGGGGCCCCCAAAATGGCCGCAAAAAACATTTGCGGACGGGTGGGGGTTATATTTTTACTTGTGTGTCTACACACACACACACATATTTACAATACAGGTAAAAGAAATTACTGTCTCTAGAACGAATGGCTCCCTGTCCCAGCCGCGAAAATTACGGCAACTTTAAAACTACCCATAAACATTCTTGGGTACATCCAGGGTTCCATCTGTGAATAACCGAGAACCGCAAAGTAAAAATCCGCAAACTTGGGGGTTATACTGAAATAGCTTTCTCCTCCTGTCCCAGATCACTCTGAACCTAGAGCACCCTCATTCCTAGCTGTAAAAGGGGTCCTAACTTTTCTTTTTGGGAAGTGAGGGCAGTCTTGTACAATGCTGGCCACACTGCCTCCCTCTGTACAGTATTAATTAAAGGCTTGGTGTGCAATATACTGTATGTACACACCCATTAATGGGCCATCAGGCTTATGTAATTCTTTTCTCACTGGTATCAATAATTGTAAAATCAACTCTTTTAGTATTCAATTAAATTTTATGTAAATTTGTTTAAATGGTTTATACATATCAGTGATATATGGTATATGCCAAGATGGTACGACCCTGATAAGCACATTCATCTGTACTTCTGTACTCTAAATCAGTCCTCAAATAAGTATCGTTAAGATAACTGATCCACTCATTTTCAATAGAATTTTATGCCACTTTACAAATGGTGTAAGTTTAGATGATGTGATGGCACTGTAGCATTGGGTCTATCCGTCCATATATCTGTCTACTAGGTTTTAATATTTAAGTTTTTAAGTTTTCAAGGAAACTTTAACCCACAAGATATAAATGGTGTTCATTACAGTATATGGATGGGTGATAGGTATGTACCACTCCACTAAGGTCATTCATTCATCTTGTCCATCTGTCTCACTGATTGGGCCAGGGAAATAATTATGTCATCTTCAGATGTTTTGACTGAATTGTACTGTACTTTGTCATAATTAGTTGCAAATTAATTGCTTTTTTTTATAAAAAAATCTATGTATTGTACAGTATCCTTTGAATATATGTAATTTTAGTAAGGATAGGTATTGATACTTACTGAAATACCTTTCTTCTCTGCTCTGGCTGCAACAGGTGGTCACCCCTGAAGGTATCATCGCTGCCCCTCTCAGCACCCCTGACTGTTTTACCAACTATTTCCTGCCAGGATGCCATCGCTATCATGCAGCGCGAGGGATACGATCAGTTGCCTGTTGTTGACCAAGAAGGGTAAGAAAAGAAAGGCCTTGTATTTTATATGCATTTTACAATATGTCATTAAAAAATAATTTCACCTCGGCCTTGATGTTTCTGTCTTACATTTGATGTTCTTCCTTTTCTCTTTCTTATTTCTGGTGCATCACTGTACCTGTTAGTGGGGAAAGTTGTTATTATTTACTGTAGTTTATAATACCTGTGACGGGCACATGGGTAGGCTAGCTGCTTGGGTAACTTAAGGCATAGGCTCTTGCACTTAATTCATATTCTGCTACCTTTGTACAAGGTTGATCTCTCATTAGCTGCTGTTTTTGCGCACAACTTGTGTTGTGCAGTATAGTGGTCCCTCGGTTAACGAGCACAATTCGTTCCAGAAGGTTGCTTGTTAACCGAAAAATTCGTTAACTGAAACAATTGTTTCAATGGGTTTTTGGGTAATTGGTTCCAGCTCACCGAAAATTGCCTAAAGTTAGCAAAAAAGGCAATAAAGTACACTTACTTTGAGGTGTGTATGTAGAAGGCTCCTGGATGATGATGCTGATGTGAATTTGAAGTGGAGGTGGAGGAGAAGCATTTTACTGCTTCTTGGAAGGTGAGTCACCTTCCATGAAAATGTCAGGAGCCTATGGACTGACAGATTCTCCACCAGGAACATTCTCTCTCCTTCTTGAAGTGGAAGGCTGAGGGCTAGCATCTTGTTCCCGCTGCCTCTTAGAGAAGAAACAGTCAATTTTTGTCTGTGGGGCATCTCTCCTCCTCATCATTAACTGATGTTTAAAGAAGAAGACCACTGTCTCTTCAACATGACACAAAGCTAGTTCAGATTTTTCCACATCTGGGTGCCCTGAAGCCAGTTTCCTGAAATTCTCCCAGTGGTCATTTACACGGTACCTTGCCAGAATTTAAATGCTTTAATTACGCGGTAAATTTGGTCATTTACGCGGAGAGCAGCTGGTGGTTCAGCCGCGCCGGGCCATTTTTCGATTCAAACCTCCCCCCATCTCCCGTCATGCTTGGGTAAGCGGCGCGAGTAAAATCCCGCCGTATGTTGCTGTTGCATTATCGGTAACGTCATATGACGTATCGGACTGTGATTGGGCCACGCATCCTTACCTCCCTCCCCCGCTAGCTGTGATTGGTTCAATGTAATACTGTATGACGTGCCTTGCCACGGGAGGGAAGAAGCCGCTGACCTACCCGCGTCAGTCACTCTCCTCCTTTCACTCGGTGTAAACTGTGTTCTATTGTGCCCGCTAATCTCGTAAGAATGGCTTCCGCTGGACCCCCCCCCACCACATAAAAACCTTGCCTTACCTGGACCCAGCCTCTCCAAGCCAAAGAAGATACGACGTTCCCTAAGTTACGAAGTTAAGTACAAGATCGTGCAGGAGTTGGAAAAAGGTACGAAGCAAGTTGATTTGGCCTGCCAGGAAGGATGCCGCCAAGATAAAAGAACATATGAGCATCACAAAGTCCACAGGTGCTTCAATGGTGAAGTACTGCCAGAACAAGGTTCTGCTCAAGACTGAGAATTTGCTGGTGAGCTACTAGATTCGTCAGGCAAGACGGAACATGGCGGTGGACACGTGGTCAGTTCAGGACTACGCACGTGAACTGTACGTAGCAGTGGCACATAAGATGGGAATTGCAGAGCCCAAACCCTTCACTGCTTCCTCTGGGTGGCTGCAAGGGTTTAAGAAGAGGAACAAGATCACCAACATTAACATTGCTGGTGAAGGAGCGAGTGCTGACTGTGTTGCGGTTAGTGACTTTCCTCCATTCTTACGTGACATTATGGAGGAAGGACAGTACACTGACGACCAGGTGTTCAACATGGATGAATCTGGTCTGTTTTGGAAAAAGCTACCTACCAAGACCTTCGTTGTCAAGTCTGTCAGCAAGTGTCAGGGCAGGAAGTTGCAAAAGTAGCGCATCACTATCCTGTTTACCACCAATGCCTCTGGTACCAGTAAGCTCAAGTTATCGGTAATCCACACAGCCCGCAAGCCGCACGCTTACAAGAACATGGACATGACCAAGCTAAATGTCCACTGGCTAACCGCACCTAAGGCGTGGATGTTCACTGCTCTGTCCCTCTCCTGGTTTGACGACTGTTTCGTTCCCGACGTCAAGAAATTCTGCGAGCAACAGAATGTTCCATTCAACATTTTGTTGCTGCTTGACAACGCACCAGGACACTCGCCCCTACTGTTGGATCGTCACCCCAATGTAAAAGTGGTCTTCCTTCCTTCCAACACTACGTCGTTAATCCAGCCCATGGACGAGGAGTCGATATGCAACATTAAGGCTGCATTCTCTACAGAGAAGTTTAAGTTCATGAACGACTGTACCTACACCAAGGATGAGTTGCGTAACCTGGGTGACACCGATAGCGAGAGCGACGAGGACGAGGAACAAGAATTGGCGGATCAAGAAGTTCGCGTCAAACAGTTTTGAAAGAAATTTAACGTAAAGACAGCTGTTGATTTCTTGGTGGAGGCATGGGGGCAGCTGTCTGTGGCAACGATTCGTCACGCATGGCGGCATGTGTTGCAAGGTATCCCAGGTGGGAGGCAGAGTCAACCTGTGACTGGTGAGGTTCAGTCTGTTGTAGTGGCAGTGGACCTTGCAAGAGAAGCTGCGCAGAGTGTTACAGCTGCAGGTTTCTCCGAGACCACCAACGACGACATTATGGAGGTGATCAGGGATCCTGAGGTGACAGCCGACGAGATGTTAGAAGACGATGACGTCAGTGAAGAGGCAGGTGGTGCGTCATCCCGAGAAGAACACAAGTTAACGCATGGCAATGTTAAGGATGCCATCGAGTTTGCAGAGAATCTCAAGCTCGTCCTTTCCAACGACCCTGACGATCACCGCTATGAAGTCTTCAATAACCAGCTGTTGCAGACTATGGAGCCTTACATCCAGATGTATCATGACAACTTCAACACTAGCCGTCAGCGTAACATCTCTGACTTCTTCGCCTGCAACCCACCACAGCCAACCCAAGCCAGTGATAGTGACAGTGATGTTGACTTTGAGGGATTTGTCAGGGAGGCCCTGACAACTATGGTGGATAGTGATGGTGATTCACCTGAGGGCCAGTAATCTGCCCTCTGCCTTGGAACCAGCCCCCATTCCCTTATGCCGACCCATCTCTTCTACTAACGTAAGTGTTAAACCTTGATTTTCCTTTTACCTGGTACAGTATATTATTCTCTTATTGATATTTATCTTCTATATTATGTGTGTGTGCATACCATCATAAAATTAAGATACTATTTTTACTACAACGTACGTATTGTGTCGCAAAAAGTGGAGTTTGGGGGTCAGCCCAGTCTCTATTTCAATTAATCCCATGTGTTCTGTTATTTCATTTACGTGTTTCTCGTTTTACGAGGGCCTCCACGGGTTCAATTGACCACGTAAATGCAGACCCAACTGTACTGATGGCCACAGTCTTTCCATGAAGAATTGAGGGATCTAGTGGAGACTTCTTGCCATGAGGACACAATCAATTTTACAGCCTCCAGGATGTTAAGCTGTGTCTTCCACAACTGTGCCAGTGTTAGTTCAGGATCAGTAGAATTTGCCTGATGACACCTCCTGAACATTTTCTTCATGTATAACTTCTTGAAGTTGCTGATCAGAATCTGGTCCATTGGCTGTATAATTGATGTGGTGTTGGGAGGCAAAAACAACACTTTGATAAAGTCAAATTGAGACTCCAAAGTTCTGGCAAGTTGAGTGTCATGACCAGGGGCATTATCCATAAGGAGAAGAGCCTTTAAAGGAAGTTTATTGGTGGTTAGGTAGCTCTTCACAGAAGGGCAAAACATCTCAACAGCCCATTCATTAAAGAGCTGTCTTGTTACCCATGCCTTACGGTTGGACTTCCAATAAACTCCAAGCTGTCCTCTTACCACTTTTTGTTGCTTGAACACCCTGGGGTTCTCGGAGCGGTAGATAAGCATAGGCTTCAGTCGGAAATCCCCTGAAGCATTGGCACCAAGCAACAGAGTGAGACGGTCTTTCATGGGTTTATGCCCAGGTAAAGAGGCCTCATCTCTGGTGATGAATGTTCTTTTGGGCATCTTTTTCCAGAACAGCCCAGTTTCATCAACATTGAACACTTGCTGTGGAAGATAATTTACTTCTTCCATTAGTTCTTTTAATTCCACTAAAAACTTTGCTGCCCCTTCCTTATCAGCACTGGCAGCCTCACCATTCCTAACTTTTCTTAAATTTTTCGAACCAGCCTTTGCTGGCCCTAAAATCTTCAAAGTCTGTGCCTGAAGAACCAAGTTGATCTACCTTTAAATGTTTGTAGATTTCCCTGGCTCTTTCACAAATAAATTCAGTAAAAACTGAATCACCTTTCATCTGTTTTTCCTTAATCCAGATGAGAAGTTACCTCTCTGCTATTAGGGATCTACCTTTGAACACTGGTAGATTTGTCTCTCACTTTCACTTCCTTGAATTTGTCTTTCTGTGCAAGGTTTGTCGACACAGTTGATGTCAACATGCCATATTCTTTGCTTAGCACATTTGTTATGATGCCTTATTCATGTTTTCTTATTACTTCCTGTTTCATCTGAATTGAAATCGCTTTTCTAGATTTCTTGGGACCCATGCTGGATTCAAACACAATTTCAACACGTGATATTTTAAGTTTAATTACTGTAAATAGAGAATATTTTCTTTAAATCAACACTGCACTGCGCTATATATCATCAATATGTAAAATAAATTTCAAAATGACCAATAATTTGACTGAAAACACAGAAAAAAGTGTTTATGTTGAAGAGAGTCTGAAGCAAGATGTTACCTCCACTGAAAAGACACAGAGACTGACGCCTGTTTGGTGTGTTGATAGGCTGTTTGGCGCGCATAAAACTAGTTTCCTGTACTTCAATTATATTCAATAATTGTTAAAATGACTAAAAAATTTAATATAAAGTGGGGTATGCTATAACGAACGGATCCTACTACGAATATTCCTATAACGAATG